GAGTTTGGAGTACCTGGAAGAGTTTGTATCCACAAGTCACAATTCTGGCTGGCAGCACTGGTGGGACAAGGATTGACCCAAGAGAGTCCTGATGGTGGCAATGAGGAATGAGTGAGAGACTAGGACAAGCCACTGGCATGTCCACAGGAGGAGGTAGGTCAGGTTTGGGATCCACCTTGTATTTGCTGGTGAGGGAATCTGGAGCCACCCTCAGCTCTAGTTCCAGCAGCCAACATTTGTAAGAGATTCTCAGCTCCCAGATGATTCCCACTTCAGTCCATCCTGAGCGACAGGGAAGCTAGGTGTAAACAGTCTGGGGGAGGGTGGTGTTGACTCAGCCTGATCCCAATCACATCCCACCAGCAGCACTACTTCACTTTCTGAATCAGCTGTGGTGCCTGAACTTTGGTTTATTGCCATTTGGATGGGCTGCACTTTACCTTTGTAGGATATAGATCTGGACAAGTCGAGACTGATAAGACAGAGGAAGGGAAAAAAGAAAAAAGGAAGCAGGAAGGACTAAACTTAAATTCAAATCATGAAAGCCTTTCAGAGTCAGTGCCCCAACCAGAAACCAAAACTAAATAACCAAAAATAATAACCAGAAAATTCTTCCTGTTCCACTCCAAGGCAGTGCTGAAAGACCTCAGACCACAAATGTGGAGCATTCCTGTTCCACCAGCCATAGAAAGTTCTGCCTTCTCCTGGGGCAAGCCTAGGTTGGAGGCCCATGAGGGCTCATTTTGTGCCACACCTGCCCATCACGACAACCAAGGCTGTTGCAAAATCCCATCCTGTCACCCTGAGGGTGCTCAGCTCCTCCATTACAGCTGAAAGTGCTGCTAGAAGCTGTGGCACTGTCCAGGGAGTGGGAAAGAAGAGGTGAATAGGTGGGCTATTACCTTGACAGGTGAAACCCCAAGTGTGGACTGGATGGGGGAATGTGCCCCTGGCACTGGAGATGAGGATTTCTCACATGAGATGTGTTTGCCCATCTCAGCAGCAGCAAGGAGAACCTTTGTGGGAGATGCTGGTGAGAGGGGTTGATTAGGACCCTCCTCTGAAGGCGGGGATGGATGTAAGGGCACAATCCCAGGAAGGGTCGAGCTCTGTGCCAGACAGGCTGGAGGAGCCCAGCCTCTGCCACCAGCCTCTTCCCTTGTGAGGGTCCCTGCATCCCACTGTGCCTGCAGGAACAGGCACCTCCAGGCCTCACCTGGCGCTTCCAACCAAACCAGGGCCCCAGCAGCTTGTCTGGGCACTTCAGTCCCTGTCCCAGGGCAGCTGAGCAGGCAGAGCCTGTGACTCCCCACTTCTTCCCGGGGGTTGGAAGCTTTTGTTCTGTTCCTCGGCAGATCCTCAGTGGCAGTGAGCACGTTGCAGAAACGCCCTTGGGAGCACTTGGGGAATGGGAACAAGGGCTGGGCTCTCCTGGGGAATTGCAGTTCAGGTGGATGGGAAATATCTCCAAACCGGTCCAGCTCAGCTACACACCCTTCCCTCCCTTCTTAATTGCAATTCTTCCTAATTTATCTGGATTACCAGGAAGTAAAATGTCAGGACTTTTTTGGTTACCCCCCTGGCATCGTGCATTTCAATTTTGGAGGCGGTACTGTCGCCAGCCCAGGAGAAAGGAAAACTCTCGCTGCCTTGGGAAAAGACAAACCCTCACCTATGTGCAGAGGCGGCCATGTCCCTGTGGGAGCAGCTCTCCCTGGATCCCCTTCCTTTCTCTCTTAACACCTAAATATTTTAGGGATGGGTGGCAGCATATTTTTCCCTGACCCTGACATATTAAACCCACTGCAAATAGACAGATGTGCTGTTCGCAGCCTCCCCACTCCATGAAAATCCTTCTGCTCTGCTGCATTCCTAACTATGGTCTTGTGGGCAGGTGGAGATCCAGAACCAAACTGTGCTCTCGGGCCTCCTGGGCCTCCTTGGATCTCATCTCCTGCATCTCTCAGGTGTGGTACAGTGCCTGGCACCATTTCTGATGATGCAAGGTCTCCCCTACAATGCGGTAGGATGAGCAGGGAGGGTTTCCTTCCTTTCCACCCTTCCCCTCCCTTGCAGTGGGAAACATAAACACCTCCTGGGCAGGTAGATGGGTGTTTCTGATCACCTGCAGTGCCTTGGCCAAACAGGTGGTTCAGGAGTCCATGCTGGCAGAGCCAAGTGCTGTTGGAGCTGCTGGCGCTCCATGGGAGCTGCCATGCCAGGCAGACACTGAGCTGCTGGTAAAGCTCTAGCAGAGTGCAGGAGGTCATCGCTGTCACTCCAACAAGTTTTAGCAGTGGACTTTACTTGGCATTTCTGCTTGGGGGTCACTAGGCTAGGCTGGAGAATTTTCCAAGGGTGATTGTTTTATTGCCAATGACACCAAACTTGCAGGCTAAAGGCCGCGCATTCCTGTCCACCCTGGAGGGAAGGGCAGCGCTGCTGACTGCACTTGTGGAAAGGAGTCACGAGCCCTGATCAGCCCCGTTCAAGGACTAAAACACTGAGTCTGCTTCAAAACCACAAACCTGCCCTGGCCCAGCACTTCAGAGAGACCATGGAATGGAAGGGAGAAAGCCAAGGGTATGACAGAAAGTGCTCCTAAGCAGTAGTCCCAGATCCAGCCCTCTGGGAATAATACTCCAAGAGTCCCCCACGCTCTCAGGACTTATTTCATATGGATGTTTCTCAAGCCCACACAAGCCAACGCATTTGTTCTCCCTGTTTCACTCCTTTCCTTTTTGCCACAAGGACTGAAACCTCCCCAGTCCTACAGTGCATTAGTGTCTCTTCTGAATCTTTCGTTTCCAGAATGATCCCGTGACCCTATGAAAAGCATTTTGTTTTCCAGCACATTCCAAGCCATCTCATCCAGCAGCAGATGCCAACAAACCTCTGGCAGGTTTGGCCCAGCAACCATGCCCCAGCAGGGTCTCCTCTCAGGATCCACAGCCTGGCTGAGTGAGCAGAGCAAGCAGGCCAGGGCTCTTCCTGTACAATCCTTCCCTGTCTCTTCATGCCCTTGGATGAATCCAGACAGGCAGCCATGACAATTTGTCACAGCCTGACAAAATGGTGGCTGCTGTGACATCACCAAAGACAGCATCTGCTCTGCAGTGTCCTTCACAGAATCATCATGCTTGGAAGAGACCTTTGAGATCATCTAGTCCTACCCTTGACCCATCACTCCATCCATGGGAGTTGGGCAGATGGAGACCCAGGAGCAACAACCTGCAGGGCTATTTCAGGCTCAAGGCTGCTCTTTGTCACTCTGACTGATGGGGAGTGGTTTGCAGTCAGCAAAGGTGAGCACTGAAGGCACATTCTGTCTGCCCCTGCGATACCTATCCTGTGGCTCAGAAGACATTTCCTGCTGGCGCTGAGCAGGATCCCTGCTGCCCTCCTCTCTCATGGTGTCTGTGTCCACCCTGACATGTGGGGTGATGGCAGAGGGGCAGAAAGCCAAGGACTCAAAGCTTGTCTTGGCAAACTGCTCCATGGCCCCACGCGAGCAGTGTGCGCACGTCACAGCCGTTCTCCAGCGTCACTCACAGCTGCTCCCTTCCCGGGACTTCACCAACAGCCACTTCAACAATGCTGGTGCCAAACTTTTCCTTGGGTGCCCAAAAACATCCCCTGCTCCTCTAAGCTCTATGATTACATGACAAAGCCACCCTGCCCTGATGAGTACAGCAGAGTAGATCCTGCTCTAGACCACTTGGAGAGCTGAGGCACAGTTGGGACAACACAAGCTCCTTCCCAAGGCTTCAGCTGCGGAAACCAGCAGCAGGAACAATGCAGGCCTGACCACAGTGGATCTGAGCTGCAGTGTTGTCCCAAACACCAGCTCAAGCCTTGGTTTTAAACATGGCCAACCAACGACCTTTGCCTCTCACAGACACCTTCCCACAGTGGATCCCAAGTCCCTCTTCCCAGTCCTGTTTTAAAGGGCTCCTTGGTTCAGCACTGCTGCCTGCCCTTTCTGTCTGTGAAGGACTAATTTTCCTTCTTAATCAACCGAAAACTCACAGAGCAAAACAGAGCCAGGAATGCGCTGTTGCCTGTGGCATCCACGAGCAAAACCGTGCGTGGGTCCCTGCTGTATCAGCTGGGGTCTGAGCCTCTGTCTGTCACTTCTTTACTCAGAAAAAGTCCTTTTTGGGATACATGCCAGCCGAGTTCAGGCACTCCTGGATGAGCAACTACCAATGGATCTGATCCCTGCTTTTGGAGCAGCCCAGCAACACAAGTGTTAACTCCCTGTTGCCCTAATTACAGCAGGGCAATCAACGAATTTTACTACTGTGCTGTGTCACAGTTATTTCCAGTATTTGAAAATAATGTCAGTCACATCATTTGTCCCTGAGCCTTGTCCTCAGTGGAGTTTGCACCAGCATTTTCCAGGAAAATAAGAGAAAGGGGACGGGAATGTTGTGACTCGTTAACGTAGATGAAATCTCCTCAGGAGGCAGAGCTGTCACCAGAGGGAACAGGGCAGCTCCGAGCTTCCCTCAGTGCTGAAATCGGGTGGTGAATCCTACCAAGACGAGGGGTAAGGGGAGCTGGCCCACCAAAACCAGCAGCTCTTTGAGGGGCCCGGCGGGGAACGGCCTGAAATTCTACACATTTCCCCAAAAGAGGAAACCCCGAGGTTTGCAAACAAACAGCTGCTCAAAACTATGTCTCTAGACTTCATTAGGAACAGAAAAAATGCCTCGTTCTGTGCCAAATGGACATTTTGCTGCCAAGAAAGTGCCACCTACTGGATCTCACCCGGTGGGGAATCACCAGGACGGGAAAAAAACTCAGAAAACACAATGCTGGGAAAAGTACATTTTTTCATATTTTTTACTAAAATAACAGAAAACTACACTGATAGTTCTCCCGGCCACATCCCCTCTCCAGCCATTCTCCCTCCACAGCAGAATCAGACAGACTTTTGAAGTGGATAAAAGCTGGGGAGGGGGATGAAGTTTTAGGATTTGCAAAGAGGGACTCACCGGTGCTGAGAAGCCGCTCTCGTCTCCCGCAGTTCGCTCAGCTCCCGTGAGTTCTCTCCCGGTTTCCCGTGCCTTCCTAGTTAAATCCTGCTGCCATTCTCCAGCAGTCAAGCTCCGTGTCCTGCCTGCACAGGCTGTGAGCCCGATGCCCCGAAGGCTGAAGGAGAGTGAGTGGGAGGCAGAGCCCACCCGGCACCCCGGCCTGGGGGTCCCCTTGCCGTGGCTCCCCTCTGCCCTTTCCTGCCGGTGCCGCTCGCTGCGGGTGTCTGAGAGCAGGTGACAGAGGTTCCTTGGCACAGGAGAGAGGAGGGGAGGGATGTGGAGGCAGAAGAGGTGGAGCTGGGACCCGGAGCAACAGGTTACTGTATAACCAGGAGCCGGTGGCCCCGGGAGCGCCGGGGGCTGCTGCAGCCTTCGCCCACTCCCCAGGCAAGGCGACCAAGAGCCCAGGAAGGACGTGTTAAACTTCGGGTTTCTTGCTCCCGAGAACATTTTGTACCCAATGGGAAGGGTGAAGGTGGCGAGGGGAGGTGAAGGAGTGCTTGGAGCTCAGTTTTCCATCGCCGGTGAGGGAGGGGACGTGCTGCCCGACCGCCTCATGGGGGGAACAAGGCACCTTTTGTGCAGCCCAGGGCTCTCCTCAGCGCTGGCTCGCCGCTTGTTTTCCTCCAGCATCGCCCCTGCCTGCTCTCCGTCCCGACGTCTGCGGCAAGGAAAGGTGTTGGGAGACGGAGGGAAAAGGCAAAGCGTCCTTTCTCTCACACTCCCCAAAGCAATCAGAAGCAGAGTCCCCTTTGGGGTACCTCCTCTGTGGCACTGTGCACCTTGGGGTTATATGGCCATAAAGCCCCTCGTTTTGCCCCTGCTCTTCCATGAAAGACAGTAAGTTTAGATGGGATATTTGGAATAAATTCTTCCCTGTGGGGATGCTGAGACTCTGGCACAGAGAAGCTGTGGCTGCCCCATCCCTGAAATTGTTCAAAGTCAGTGCTTGGAACAACCTGGGATAGAGGAAGGTGTGCTTGGCAGGGAAGGTACCAGCTGGGTCATACCGATGGCAGGGTGGGATCATTCTGGTTAGCCATTCTTCTTCCAAAACTGAGGCTTTTGAGAGTGTTTTTATGGAAGCGCAGGTGTCCCCCACCATGCCCACGCTGAGTGTTGAATCACTGCCATGTCCATGTGAAGCGAGACCCCGTGTTGCTGGCCCTGGTAGGAAACAGCTGCAACTGCGACACTAGGGAAAGAAACAAGGAAAAGCTTCCCCCTGAGGACAGCGGTCTGGGAGAAGCCCAAACTCCTTAGCTTGACATTTGCTGAGCTTCCCGCTGCCGTGGGTTTCTTTGAGGGGCTTCTGCCCAGCGCAGGGCCTGGCCCGGGTCCAGGCGCCGCACGCCCGGAGGAGCCGCCCCGGTGAGTTCCTGTGGGAGGAATGCGGCCGGGTGAGCCGGGCGGGCAGGGGGAGAGCAGCTCCCTGCTGACAGCCGGCATTTCGGCAGCTCGGCTTTGACAGAACCACGACCTCTCCTACTGCGGGAGAACACGAACCGATACTCGCTGTGACACTCCCCCCCAGCGCCCCGTCATCCTCCTCGCCAGGATCCCCGGGGATAGATTGTGAAAACACGACCGGCCCCAGGAAAGGCAGGATTTAGGGAATGCCTGCTGTAGCAGGCAGAAGGGATATCAGTCCAACACAAGAGAAATGCAGTGGGAATGTCAGCTGTGCTGGAGGCTTCTGAGCCTCAGCAGCCAGAAGGTTTTGTGCAGGAGATCCCTACTGCCTGAAATGCATCACTGGGGTATTTCAGCAGGATATATACTGCTGGGTTGGGCTGGGCTGACTTTCCTGGGATGCAAACAGGGAGTTGACAGGATGGTGTTTTAAGGCACTGCTTCCTATGCAGCTCCACATTCACAATGAGGACAGGGCTACTGTGAGCTGCTGTGCCCCACAGGGAATCTCTTAACTGCTCTGCAGAGGCAGCAGCTTTTCCTCTGGGCAGGGAAGAAAACCACAGCAGAGCTTATTACACCTTCCCAGCTGTCCCACCTGACAGCTGCTGCCGGTGGGGGTGGGCCAGAGGCAACTGCAGAATCATGGAATGGTTTGGCAGGAGGGAATCACCCTGTGGTATGGTGGTGGTTCCTGGCGTGGCTCCCAGGTGTGGAATCAATTGAGTGCATGTCCTCGAACTCCCTCCTTCACTGGAGCACCAGGCCACTGCAGAGGGACATCATAAAGTCATGGACCCATAACACCCTATCTCCAGAGGGACATCATAAAGTCATGGACCCATAACACCCTATCTCCCAGTATCTCCAATTTGGAAATCCCGGGAGGCTGACTTGCCTCTCAGGATCAGCCTTTTAAATCAGGTTGGCGGCAGACACCCCTGTGATGGCTCGAGAACAAAGACTTGTCAAGTAAACACCACCCAAACCCAGCTCCTCAAAACATGTGTTCCTCTAAATTTTTAATGCTGTTTGCATCCAACTTGCTTGTCCTGTTTCAGAAGGGCTGGGCCTCGTAATTAAAAGCTCCAGCGATTGTATGTCTGGCAAATGTCATCAATGGCTTTACTATGTGTGCCCTGCTTCTCCAAGCACTGGGAACGGTTTGGAAAGGAGCTGCTGGTTAGGGAAACTTCCTGAAGCTGATTCATTTTGGGTCTTTGTACCACCTCGGCGTCAAGAGATGCCACCATGAAATAAGGGACACCAATACAATGACAATTCCCATTGAAAGCCTGGAAATACTTGGGATGGAGTTCCCAAGATGAAGCTTCCAGGCTTCATCTTTCATCATAGAGCACAGGGCTGTTAGCAGCAGCAGTACCCCACAAGAGTTCATGGACAATTTTATCTGGAATTGGAAAACTGCAACCAGAGCTGTCCTGCCCTTGTGAGAATGCAAGTCCAGGTTGCTGCCAGTTGAGCCCAGCAGGCACTGACAGCCAGTCAGGGCTCTGAGCAGTTGCAGCCATCAGGCCCTGCCCTGAAACGAGCCAAAAAATTAATGTTTGTTGTCCTATGTGCATATTTACCCCATGCCTCACTATCACTAAGTGCTGGCACTCTCTGCTGATCCTTGTTTTTCACCCGGGTGATGGGAAGGGAGCAAAGGGTTCACCATGTTTTATAATTCATATTTTGTGTTTATTTTGTTTGTGGTGATCACTCAAGAAGGTGAAGCACAGGAGCTGTGACTCAACATTAACCTGTGTGACCCTGTTTGCTGTATCACCTGCATTCAGGTAAAAATTCCACTTTGCAATATTCCTTTTAGAACCTGTCAGTTGTTCTGTGGGCAGACCTTCGTGTAAGGCAGGTGCAAACACCAGGAAAAGTTTGTGCTTTTTTTTGTGCCCATCCAGGAAGAGTTTTGCATGTGTGCTTTGATCGTTAATGGGGCAGGGACAGCTCGGTATGTTGGTCACTCCTTGGAACAAGCATGTGATGGCACATTCCATCATGCCAAGCAAATCTGGGAGGACAAATAGGTGGGGGCTCCATTCAGGCAGATTAAGCCCATAAACATTTGGTTGTTCCATTTCCTGGGTGCTCCTTAGCCCCAGTTCTGCTGTGATGTTTCTGTGGGAGCAGCAAGGGCTGGCTGTGCCCTGGCTTAGCAGGACCTGTCCAAGGGGATTTGTGCCAGTGGGGACTCTGACTGTGACTGCCAGGTGGTGGAATGTGAACAGAACTTGCTGGTACCTGGCCTGGGAGTAGAAAGGTTAGGGTTGGATGGGACTTTAACCTCATCTCCTCCTATCCCCCTGCCAAGGGAGGGACACCTTCCACCAGACCACATTGCTGCAAGTCCCATTCAGCCTGGCCTTGGACACTTCCAGGGATCCAGAGGCAGCCACAGCTTCTCTGGGCAACCTGTGCCAGGGCCTGAGCACCTTCTGAGTCACAAATTTCTTGCTGGTATCTCATGGAAACCAATCCTCTTTTGGCTTGACAGCACTCCCCCTTGTCCTGTCACTACATGCTCTTGTGAAAGGTCCCTCTCTTTCTTGTAAGCCTCTCTAGGCACCAGAATCCTTAAGGTTGGAAAAGCACTCTGTGATGATCAAGTCCAAGCACTGAATTATTGAGGGATGAAACTGGGCCCTTCCACAGAACTTGTGTGTCCTTGTGCCTTTCCACCCCCACCAGAAAGCAAAGAGCAGTGTGGCTGAGGTGCCACAGGCCTGCACCCCACAATTTTCAGCCCCTGGTGATTGCAAATTAGCTCAGACCTTCCCAGGGCAGGAGAAGGGGCTACACACAGCAGCAGGATCAGGATCAGAAGAGGCTTGCACACACATCCAGGCTTGCCCAAGTCTTCCTTTGGATGACTTAGCTGGAGCCCAAGATCTGAACAAGATTGCTCTGCATTTCAAATGCTCCTTAGATCTAAACCATTATTTATTTGAATGAATAAATAAATACAAAAATAGGAAATTCTGAATATAAAAGAGGCTTCTTCAAAAACCCAGGAACTCCCAAAGCTTTCCACTAACACATATTTTTGAGACAGTAAAAAACTCTGCCCTCGAACCAGTCAGAAGTTAAGACAGACTTGAATATAGTAATTTTTGCAAAATAGTAGAAATAAGCACATTTAACACTGAATAGAAACAAAACTGCCAACATTCTGTTGGACTTTCAAACAGGACAGAAGGGAGAATGAATGGTGAATGGTTTTGTTCATTTTAAATCCATCCTGTCTAACCAAACATCCTCTCACGTAGTAAGAACTGGCTGCCAAACCTTGTGGCTTGGCTCTCCAGGTATGCACAAAACCCAGTTCCACTCTCCCCCGCTGGGATACATCAGGTTCTGCCCTACTAAAGTCAGGGAAATTACCACTGAGGTCTGGAAACACAAATGAGAGCAGCAAGAGCAGCTGTGCCCTCAAACACGGACGTGTGCATGGCAAGGCACAAGTGAGCCCTGGCCTGATTCATTTCTGTGTCACTTGGGCTGCACGTTGCTCCTGTGCCTTGAAAACTGCCACCATGCCAGCAGCACTGCCTCCTGTCCTGTGCTAGGAATGGACATTTAGTACTGACCCCTGCTGAATGCCAAAGTGTTAAGCATTTTGTGATTCACCCCTTGCCTTTGCCCACAAATAAGCCAGTGGTGGACAGCATCACGGAGCTCCTGGGCAGGACATCTATGTCCCCAAAACTTCTCATTTAGCCAGAGAAGCTTTCCAGGGTTTTTCTATACAAAGGAATTCAGCAGTGGACATGAAGCCCCGCTCTCTGAGAGAAGGAATGTGTGGCAGGGTGTGGGAAGCGCCGGGCTCAGCTGACAAAGGCAGCGATGGCCGTGACCTTGAGGCCCGACTCGAGAGCGTAGGCCGCGAGCAGCACGGCGTTGAGGAGCACGTCTGCCCACAGCACGTAGCTCTGCCACAGCAGCAGGTACACACACAGCAGCACGCTGCCCACTGTGAGCCCCAGGCTCAGCCCCAGCGGCCCCTCTGCTTCTGTCAGGTTACCCTTGAAACCTGCAAGGAAACACAAACCAAAAGTCCAAAACAGCTCAAGCTGTAACTAGAAAATATTCCTGCTCAAAAAAGGCCCCAGTTCTGACTTTGCTCTTATTGAGTCCTAAAAAAGCTCAAAATATATTGAAATACCAGCCTGAATCAAAGCTCTGCCAGGAATCAAACAACAAGCCCAACACCAATGGACAATCCATTTCAAAACAGGAAAACTAACCAAAGTTCATCTAAATAAGTTCGTCAGTTGATAATCACAGCCAGGGCACTTCTTACCACAGAGAATCAGTTCTGAAGCTGCATCCTTCTGAGCACCCAGCTTCAACCATCAAACTCTTCCTGAGCCCCCCAGCCCTGCACTCAATGTGGTGACCTCGGTGCACTCCTGGAGTCCAGTCCTCATTTTCAAGTCTTATTTCCTTCTAATCTATTCCTGTTCCAGATGACTGACACTGTGGAGAAGCTGTCCTCTCTTCTGTGCAGCTTATTTCCAAGCTCAGTTCAGTAGATTTTGGTGTTTAACTACACTGGAGTTGAAACCCACCTCTTTATTCATGGATCAGGCTCCATAAATACACAGAGAGATTTAAAGCAGTGGAATAAATCCAGCTCTAAAGCCACTCAGATTGATTCAAGGGCCCCACCCTGCACAGATGCCTTTGAAATATTAAGCAGATTTTAATAGTGATTTGGGTTTTTTAAAAATTGGACTTGAAGAAGTTTTAGCAAGCTTTGGACAAGATCAGGAGGCCCTCCCCACCCTTCTGTCTTAGTGAAAGGAAGGTGTTGGTGCTTGCAGGTGTCCTCAGGAGAGAAAGGAAAGTTGCACTGGTCTCCAAATATCTGCTCAACTGACAGCCTCCATTTCCAAATGATTCATGTTTACAGATTACAATTCAGTTGCACTGATAACATGACCTACCCAAGTACAATCGAGGCACTTCCAGAATGGCCATAAGGAAAAGCACGGCAAGATCAGGAGCCAAAAAATCATCTGGATAACTGAAAACCTGACCTGGAGAATAAACCAGAGTAAATAAAGCAGGAAGACACAGCAGGACAAAACCCAGCTGTGCATCAGCACAGCCTGCTCTGGGGACACTACCTGCAACTTACTTTTGTAAATAATCATTGCAAGAGTTGCCAAGAAGTAGAAGATGTAATAAACCCCATTTACATAAAGCAGGATGTGTAAGGGAAGTGATGACAGCTGAGAACTGTTGTTAAGGATTTCTCATAGCAATGAGGTGGGATCTATTCCATAAAAACACCATTTCCCAGTAACCCCAAAATACACTGCACTCCCTCTTTATACTGAATGGTCCAGCTATGCCTGGCTGTGGGGAGGGCTCAGGAAGGAACTTGAGGCTGTGAACACCACGGCCTGGGATAAAAGCCTGCTGTTTCAGGCTTGGCTTTAGTTCCCTTTTTAAGGAATTTTATTTGGACTGCAGTGGGGCATCCGTTAGCCTGAGGAAGCAGGGGGGATGCATGTGTACATTGCCCCAGACTACTTCTACACTTCTTAGTCAGCCTTGAGGAAGCTGACAGAGAGTTGGCAAACTCCATCAAACTTGTGTTCGGAGAAGAGGTGGCTCTGTGCAGCAGCCAGGCCTTGCTCCTGCCCACAGCATGGAAATGCTTTGCTCCATACCTGTCTGAGCTCAGCTTTGAGATGCAAATTCCTAAGAAACAGCCTTAATTCACTCCCCTCTCTCCCCCAGCCTTTTTCAAATCCTACAAATATCTCCAAGCAGGGATTTCATCCCAGGCATCTTCTACAGGAACTGCCCATCCCGCTTCTAAACCCACCCACGCACCGTGGATGGATTCCAGTTCCCAGAGCAGCTCATTTTATTAACACAGAACCTGGTTTTGGGGTTTTTCCAGTTGAAGGAAGGTGGAGCAAAAAAAATTACTAGATAGGTTCTAAGCATGGAAATCTCCAGAGCCAAGGGTGTCTCCTCCTTGGAGGTTACTTGGATCTTGGCAGGAGTAAAGGTGGGGTAACTTACTGTAAGAGAGGAGGAAGTTACTACTGAGGGCTGCTTTTACTACCCCTTGTCAGCTGTGTCAGCTGCCTGTGAGCTGTGATGCAGGGGGTGTGTCCACCAGTCCATAAATGCAATTTTTAACCTCCTTTCTGAAGAAAATGGGTTAAATCATGACTGCAGGGCTTCTGCAGGAGCAGGAGTCCATGAGGAGCAAATCTCAGCTAAACTTGCACCAAACATCTTCCATTGGAAGCAATGTGGTCCCAGTTGTGCTTCCTGTGGATGACACTGACAGAAAATTCAGGAGCACAGACTCAGCAGTGAGCAGAGTTACTGGACAGAAGACAGGAATCCACTTGAGGCAGTCTTCTCCAGGAGTCTGGCATGGAGGGAGCAGTGGTACAGAAAGGATACAATCTCTGACGTTCTTCCTTTCCATGGAAAAGGAGAAAACAAAGAGAAGAAAATATGTCTAAATCCAGAAACATTCTAACAATGGTATCTAAATTCTGGGAGGAATCTTTTTTTTCATCTCCCAGGAACACTTATTTCTTGGACTTCAGGTTCCAAAAATAACCTTTTCAAGTAGATGAAGTCTCAAATAATTTGGGGAAAATCCCTACTGGGAAAAGCCACTTTCATTGAGGAACTTTAGGCTCTTTCAAAGCCTGAAGGAGTGTACAGGCATTATCCAGAACTTGTTCATCCTGTCCTGTCCTAGCAGATGACACTTCATCCCCTCTAACTATGCAGGAAGGAGGTGAACATGGGATCCATTTGCTTGTAAATTGTGAGAAAGTTTGTGGAGAACACAGGGCTCCCGGGTTCCTCTAAATACCATCCCTCCAAATGTCATCTCTCCAAACCAGTTCCCTTCACAAAGTCATTCCACATCCAACCTCACTGTGTTCTGATGGCCCACAGAAATCAAAGCAAGTATTCCCGATGATCCAACCAACACATTTCACTTTTTTCCTTATTATTATCTGCAAAAATCACATAAAATTCCCATGTAACAGGATGGCACCAACCTACTAAAGCACCTCTTGAGTTCCTCATTAATGTTCTCAGCCTCTCAGGCACATGAGGAATTGCACAGTTGGGATTTCTGTTCCAGGGAGAGTAAAACCTGTGAAAGGCCATTTCATCTGTCTGCTCAGGGATAGCTCGTCATTGTCACACTGCCATCCTCATCCCTGTGTTCCTGAGCTCAACATCCTCTTCACCTCAGAATTTTATGCATTTAGACCCAAATTAATTCCCCCTAACTCCAGGCAGCTAATTAAGGTGTCCAGTTTGGGAACACAGTGGGAACAGGCACATGATTTTAGGTGATTCATGTGTCCATGATCTGAAATGTCTCCTGGACCTGATCCTCTCCTCTCAGCTCTCTGTACAGGGACTGGGGGCTGCCAGCACTCATCCTGTCCCTTGGGAGTGACAGGACAAGGGGGAATTGCTTTGATACTGGGAAGAAATCCTTCCCAGGAGGGTGCTGAGGCCCTGGCACAGGGTGCCCAGGGAAGCTGTGGCTGCCCCATCCCTGGCAGTGTCCAGGGCCAGGCTGAATGGGGCTTGGAGCAGCCTGCAGTAGTGAAAAGTGGATGAGTTTCAAGGTCTCTTCCAACCCAAACCATTCCAGGATTCCATAATTCTATGTTCATTCAACATCCAGAACTGCAGCTACACCACTGACGCTGAATTGTATGATAGTCAAAGCCATGGAATTCCCACAGGGAACTCCGAGTGAATTCCCTCAGGGCAGTTCCCCATCTTTATATGCGAACTCTTCTTTCCTTAATC